CCTGTACTGGCCTTTAAAGTCAGCAGACTCCCATGCAGAGTAACAGTGGACAGCAGCAGTCACTGCAAGAGGCCAGGCCTAGATCTCCCCAAAAGCATTGTCTGGGGGTACCGTCACTATTAACCTGTCTGGCTGCTTCCTGGCAAACCCCATTTGTATGCTAGGCCTGTCTCAACTGGTTTAGTGAAGGTTTGTTGAAAACAAGCAACAGTATTTTTTAATAAGAACTTGGTCAAAATATTTTTAGTATTTATTTGATGTGTGTGCTTGTATGCATATACACACCACGGCACACATGAAGGTCAAAGGACAACTTTGGGAGCTGCTCTCTTCTGCAATGTGGGTTTCAGTGACTGAACTCAGCTTCATGGCATGCTCCTTTACCCACTGAGCCATATTGCTAGCCCAGGGTGGCTAAAATCTTAAAATTCTGAGGAAATGTCCAGAGCGGTCTTGGGCAAACTGACACACTTTGAGATATGAAAGGTCATACATGCATGCAAGCAGGGTTGATGCTTGCTCAGGAAAGCCTGTAAAGCTCCAGTGATGCTGCAGCTCTATACAAGGAGGCAATGATGGTTAAGGCAGAGTTGGCAACAAGCCACAGTACAGCACTGAAGGGGTACCCCACACAGCTACAGCACAGCACTGAAGGGGTACCCCACGCAGCTACAGCACAGCACTGAAGGGGTACCCCACGCTGGGGGTACCGTCACTATTAACCTGTCTGGCTGCTTCCTGGCAAACCCCATTTGTATGCTAGGCCTGTCTCAACTGGTTTAGTGAAGGTTTGTTGAAAACAAGCAACAGTATTTTTTAATAAGAACTTGGTCAAAATATTTTTAGTATTTATTTGATGTGTGTGCTTGTATGCATATACACACCACGGCACACATGAAGGTCAAAGGACAACTTTGGGAGCTGCTCTCTTCTGCAATGTGGGTTTCAGTGACTGAACTCAGCTTCATGGCATGCTCCTTTACCCACTGAGCCATATTGCTAGCCCAGGGTGGCTAAAATCTTAAAATTCTGAGGAAATGTCCAGAGCGGTCTTGGGCAAACTGACACACTTTGAGATATGAAAGGTCATACATGCATGCAAGCAGGGTTGATGCTTGCTCAGGAAAGCCTGTAAAGCTCCAGTGATGCTGCAGCTCTATACAAGGAGGCAATGATGGTTAAGGCAGAGTTGGCAACAAGCCACAGTACAGCACTGAAGGGGTACCCCACACAGCTACAGCACAGCGCTGAAGGGGTACCCCATGTAGCTACAGCACAGCACTGAAGGGGTACCCCACACAGCTACAGTACAGCGCTGAAGGGGTACCCCACACAGCTACAGCACAGCACTGAAGGGCGCTACAGTACAGCACTGAAGGGGTACCCCACGCAGCTACAGTACAGCACTGAAGGGGTACCCCACGCAGCTACAGTACAGCACTGAAGGGGTACCCCACGCAGCTACAGTACAGCACTGAAGGGGTACCCCACGCAGCTACAGTACAGCACTGAAGGGGTACCCCACGCAGCTACAGTACAGCACTGAAGGGGTACCCCACGCAGCTACAGTACAGCACTGAAGGGGTACCCCACACAGCTAGAGCATACTAGCAATATATACATCTTGCTGGCTCAAAGCACAGAAATCTGAGCCGACCACTGACCTAAGTGAGACTTCAGAGTCTGCACACCACAGCACAGATTGCATAGAATTGGTCCTAAAGAGACACTAAATGAACAAATAGTAAAATAAAGGCAAAACAGCAAAGCCTGGGGATGGGGCTCCGATATCGAGAGCTAGGCATCACATTCGTTTCTAAAATTTTTTATTTACTTCAGTTTTTTATGTGTATGAGTGTTCTACTTGCAGGTAAGTACACCCATGTGTGCAATGCCCACAGAGACCAGAAGAGGGCGTTGGATCCCCTGGAACTGGAGTTGTACATGGTTGTTAGCTGCCGTGTGGGTGCTGGGGAACAGAACCCCAGTCCTCTGCAAGAGCAGCCAGTGCTCTTAACCACTGAGCCATCTTGCTGGCCCCATATGCACCACATTCTTAAAAATGTGGTTTCCAATAAAAAAAAAAAAAATTGTATGACAGGCAAAGAAGCAGGAAAACAAAGCAGCCAGGTGATTCCCCGAACAAGTCTTGATAAGCTACTGCTGACATAGTCCAAGAGCCAAAGCCGTATGTGAGGACTTCAGGTGTGAGGTTATGCTTCGCAGAGTACTGATAATGATGGACTCACAGACAAAAACAACAGAAATGCTGGGTAGACAGCACAGTGAAGGGCACTCTCATGAAAGCAGCTCAGTGCCAGGTGCATGTAGGTGGCAGAAGAGGAGGCTGGGGGTGGGGAGCTGGATAGCCCAGTCTTGGGAACAGAGGAAGGAAGAAAAAAACACTGGCTCAGAGGTACCACATGCTGACACACAGTGGGCACACAGGGAGAGCACAAAGAGGGGCAGGAGGATACAGGAAGAAATGACCCAGTCCATCCAGACCCACCTGAGCATTAGTCTTCACATTACAGACACACAAGGGATTCGAAGCAGGTCCTATACCTGGAAGCATCACAAACTGACTGGCCAGAGGGTCTCAGGGAAAAGGTGGCTGTGTGTAGGGATCTCTGTGGAGTGGCCTCTCATACAGTGGGCTTGGGATAACAACTCAGCAGCGGATACAAGAGTAACAACTCTATCTCTAGCAGAATGACTCTTCACTAGAGAAACTAGGACATGCCAGACAGACAAAAATGGAGTGTCTGATGCAGGCAAACTTACCCTACATGATGGCCTCAGGTTCCCATGAACATTCAATTGGCGTCCATACAAGGAACAGTATGCTGGGAATACCGCCAGCACAGAATCAGCCAGAAGGCAGTGTGGACACACCTCTGCTCTTCAATCCTTTCTTATCTGACCAAAAGGACCAAACCATAGCTACAGAGCTGTGTTGACAGGCTTGAATCCACAGAGGTTGTGTTTGTCCAGTTGGCAGAGCGCCACTAGGAGGTAAGACAGCAGTTCTGAAGCAAACCTGTACAGTACTGAATTAAGTTGCTGTTAATGTGAACTATTTTGTGAATTACCATACTCAGAGCAACCAGTGAGAAAACTTTAAAAAATGGTAAAGAGAGGCTGGAGAGATGGCTCAGTGGTTAAGAGCACTGGCTATTCTTGCAGAGGACCCGTTTGGCTCCTAGCATACACAGTTAACAACCCTCTGTAACTCCAGTTCCAGGGGATCTGATGCCCTCTTCTGGTCTCCACGGGCATCACATACATGTGGTACACTTACATACATGCAGACAAAAGACTCATACATTAAAATGAAGACAGGAAACAAATGCTAAAAGAGCAGTCAGGCTAGGTAGCACACGCCTATAATCCCAGTGCTCAGAGGGCCGAGGCAGGAAGGCCCTGAGTTCCAGCTCAGTGGTTAAGAGCATGCGCTGCTTCTGTGGAAGTCCCATGTTTGTTTTCCAGTGCCCTACACTGCAGCTCACAATCATCTATAACTCCAGCTCCAGGGAATCTGACACCTTCCAACCTCATGGCATACACTGGATATGTGGTGCACATATATAAATACAGGCAAAACACTCATATACATAAAATAAATTCTGTGAACCCTGTGAGCCACAATAGTGCCTTGGCTGGCAAGAAATGCTCACTGGTGCAATAGTGGCATCCATGTCATGGGAGTAACCAAGCACTTTCTGATTGGATTTAAGAGGCCATTTTGGATTACTGGGGCCAAGAACCTGTGGCTAGACAGGTCACAGGCCATAGGGAGATCCTATTATTATTCTGCTAAATGGATAGAGTATTAAACCGACTCTTAATGACTTGCTATACATATATAGATTAGTGCATTTCTCAACCCTCATCAGAGAAGCTTCTTTAGACAGTACATGGCAATTAAGAGAGGCTCACTACTGATCAAGGTGCAGAAAATGTGAGACTGAGGAATGCTCAGGCCAAAATGGGACGTCTATATCACACCTTCCCAAGGTTCAGAGAGCATTGCAGAAGAGGCAGCTGAGACACTAAGAACCAAACATGGTGGATGACAAGCAAAGTGTTTTCCAGACATGACAGGCCAGGTACACTCACAGTGGTACTGCAGGTTATGACATCACGCACACCTGCTCAAGACCAAGTCATAAAGAAATCCCAGCATGGAGGGGTAGAGGGCAAGCTGCCCCATCCCCTGCTGAGGAGCTATGGGCAAGTGGTAGTTGCTGGAAGAGGGAAGTCAGTTTTCTTGAGTGTGGCCCGTGGTAGGTCAACCACGCTCCAATGGATGGCCACACATCCAAGAGTACAGGAGCATAAACTGTAAGAGAAATGAGGACACAAAGTTGGGTGGGGAGGGAACTGAACTGTATGACATTCCCAATGAATTAAGAAAGTAACAGACTCAAAAGCGCTTTCAAAGTGGCTGCACTTTTATATATCACTGACAAGACATATATGCATATATACATTAGGATCCCCATTTTTTTCACTTATCAACCATTTATTACTGTATTTCTTTGGAGTACACTTTTTATAATAGGGAAAATGTTATCGCTGTTGTTTGGGTTTGCATTTCTCCAGTAACTAATGCTGTTGCACATCTTTTTTTTTTTTCGTGTATGAGTGTTTTGCTGGCTGTATATAAGTGCACCATGTACATGTCATGTACTACCTGCAGATGCCAGAAGAGGGTGTTGGGTCCCCTGGAACTGGAGTTACTGCTGGTTGTTAGTCACCATGTGAGTGCTGGGAATTGAACCCAGGTCCTGTGCAAGAGCAGTCAATTCTCTTAACTGCTGAACCAACTATCCAGCCCACTGAATTTTTTTTTTTGGTCTTTTTGAGACAGGGTCTCCCCATAGCCCCAGCTGTCCTGGAACTCACTATGTAGACCAGGCTGGCCTTGAACTCACAGAGCTCCACCTTCCTCTGCCTCCCTAGTGCTGGGATTAAAGGCATGCGCCACCACGCCCGGCTGAATGCCTTCTTAAAAGAAGTTTTTTATTATGACAACAACAAAAAGACCCTGTCTCAAAACCACAAAACTCAGAAACAAAACCAAACCCCAAGTCCATCTTTGACTTCTGTGTGTGCTTGGTGGTCTTTGGTACTGATGCTTCTACTGTCTTTACTGTATCTCTAAACTCCAGCAGAGCCATAAGGAAAGGGGATCACAGTGTCCCCATGTGTTTGGCAGCTCAAGTCCTCCAACAGACATGTGCCCATTCTCCCATCTTAGTATGCTTGTGATAGATGACCTGATGACCAAAGGGGACCACAGCACATTCAGCCCACATTCTTTTAATTCAATGCATAGTTAAACTGGTTTGCAAACTTCTCATGTTTCTTCTGGTCCATCTGGTTCATGGCAGCAACCACTCTCTGCACAGCCGCCCTGTGAAGAGAACAAAGCAAGAGTGTCTAGGAGCCTGACGGGACCCTGATATAAGCTTTACTGCAGTCAGGCACTGGTCTTGGGGTAGCTGGCTGCCTTTACAACTTGTGTAGACTTCCAGTGGGTACCAGTCTTCTGCAAGGCGAGGTTCAGATACAGCAGGGCTCACTGTCTGAGCTGGAACCTACCATGGGCCTGGGCTGTGTCTCCCGGCCCTAATGGTAGTAGTTGTAGGAGCCTTACTCTTGCCAGTCCAAGGATGTACTCGAGGGTGAAGGCACAGCTTAGCCACTCACCTCCTAGGGAATAGCCCCAAGGCCTGCACAGTTGCACATGGGCCACACACCCAGAGGCGAGGAATCATCAAGACTGTAAAAGGCAGGAGGCCTGTATGGCCACAGCTGCCAGCCCCACCCAAGGTAGATCAAAGAGCTTCCTGACCAGTCCCAGCACTGGGATCGGTAAGTGTCTGGACCCAGCAGTGTCTGAGGTCATGTTGGAGGCTCTTGGCCATTCACTCCTGGAGCTGTCACTGCTATAGGGTGGTCTTCCTTTGAGGCAGGGTCTGCCTGTGAGTACTCAAGGTCTTTTCTGCAGAGGACTCTAGGCCACACCACTGCTATGAGGCAGCTTTTAGACCCTACTCTTGTCACAGACTCATGTCCCCAGAACATGGGAAGATGCTGGGCAGAGACCCCTTGCTATCACTGCTCCTGGAGGAAGGCCCCAGCATACCCTTTACCCCTAGTCATGGGAAATCAGACTTAAACCTGAGTCTAAAAGGTCACACGCACTTCAAGGCTTGGTCCACCGGATGCCACAGACCCATATGGCCCCTGCATACCTGCCAGCAGGTCATTCAATCAGGTGCCCTGGGAGTCATTCTCCTGCCCACTCACTCTGGCCAGGTACATGTAAGTCCATGAGGGCAGGAGGCTGCCTTCTCTGTGACTGAACCCAGTGAGAGGCTACAGCTGCCTTCTTATATTGCCAGGCTGACACTTCAAGGTTCAGTATTAGCCTCAGGAGGAGGGATGCCTTGCAGGGCTTTCTAACATTCCAAGAGGCTTCTGGCAGCAGGGCACATTGGTACTGAAAGACAAGCAAAGGCTTCAGGGTGGCTGGTGCTTAGCCAAGCTCTATGGGGCAAATGTGTACAATGCCCTCCATCTACCAGCCTTTACAGTGACTGTCTTCCCTAAAGTCACTGCTGTAGATAGCATGGCACTGACCCAGAGCACAAGGCCAGCACCTGGCCCTTCCAGGTAATCCAGTCAGGGAAGGGATGAAGGACCATTCATTCTGCTGAGGCGAGCCACACTTACAGGAAGGGAAGCAGCTGCAGCCTCCTAGAAGAATGCCTAGGGTACCCAGCTGGAGTTCTGTTCTCAGCTCCTGGCACGGCCTGTTGGTTACCATAAGTTCCTGACAGCTTAGGCAGCTCCTTAATACATCCAGACCAGTGCCTGAGGCCTGGGGCCAGAGAACAGTTCTTACTTAGCGAAGACCTTCTTCTCGAGGCGGGCCCGGCTGGTGTTGGCACGCTCCCGAAGGTCAGTGAGGTTGGGGTGCTTCCTCCTCTTCGCTTTGCCCTTCCCTCTGTATCTGGACGAGCCGAGGTCCACTCCTGTGGCTGCTTCCACGTCCTTCATAAACTCAGGGTCCTGCCAATCTGAACAAAGCCCAAAGACTTCAAAAAATGACTGGCACCAACCAGCGTAGGACCTTTGTAGGTTTCATTTGGATGGAGGGCTGGGGCCTGCTTGTTGCATGCCCTGGCACCACAGTCTGAAAGGGTCTGTGCTGAGAGCCATGACCACCCTGGAGATGAGATCAACACAGACATTTCTTTCCTTGTTCTCACTGCCTTGCTTCCAACACTGGCTCCAAGAACCAAAGGGCTACAACCTGCACAGGCTGAGAGGATCCAAGCAGGCGCCAACAGCCAACTCCTGGCACACCTGACCACTCAGGCAAGACAGTAGTCATGGAGTCAGAGTGTCTACAGGCTACTTTCTAGCCTACAGGCCAGACAGTAGCTCATCAGGCCAACTGCAGTGCTTTCAGACATATCTGCTGGCTAATGGGCATGTAGGCAGGAGTAGTGTTGAGGGGTATCACAGACCAAAAATCAATTTCCTGGTCCAGAAGAAACCTGGTAATATGCCTCAGAGAGCAGGGCAGAACTTGGCAAAGTAGGGATGCCCCTCCTGTGATCCAGGCATTATCTACTGAGGTCAAAAGGACCTGTGGACAGTGAGGGGCACTGACTATCACCCAATCTACTGAGCAAACTCACCAGTGCCAAGTCAGACCCATGGTGAGGTCACTGCTCACGTGCAGGGTTGCTGAGAATGGTGGCCATGTAAAATGGCACCAGGCCCATTTTGGGGTCAGAGCCTAGGGCCTCTTGAGTAGCAATTTCCTGCTTGGTCTCTGCTGGCTCACCTCCTCAGACTGCCGAGCTCCATAAGACATGACACTGGTTCAGCGTCTCTTGGGAAAGCCAGCCAGATTTAGGAGATGAAAGCAAAGTTAACCTAACTTGTCCAGGCCTATGGCACCCAAATGCCAAAGAGATCCCATGCACTTCAGTAGAGGGGGTCAGGGAGCAATGCTTAGGAGCAGGGTGGCAGAGAAGCCAGACTGTGAGAGGGACATGTCCATGGTGGGAGAAGCAAGCACCCCAAACAGACTGATGGCACAGCCTCCCCAAGCTGATTTTTTGAAGTGAAGGAACTCAGGACTGCACGATTCAGATACAGGGACGATTAATCCAAGATTAAGGAAAACTGTCTAAACAGTTTATCTCCCAGTAATAAGAAGACGTCACAGTTTAGGAACCCGGTGAATGGAGCAATTGTTTAAACACAACGAAAAAATGCCGGCATCCAGTGGAGATGGAATGAGCACCTCAGGAAAATGAAGGAGCAATTTAAAAGCCTTTGAAGAAAATCAATAGATGCTGCGGCCGTGCGGCCTTCCTGGGCGCTGACGGGCCCTGGAGCACCGTGTGCATTGTCACTGAGGTTAGCGCCAGGGAAAAGAAAATTGCCCCGTGTGCAAGGGAGGCGGGATCAATACTGCAGTTAGTAAAGAGATGCTATTTCACATCTGACTGGCCAGCACCGGCTTGGCCCGTGGCCTGATACCTGTTTGTTAACAAGCCACTGAGGGCTGGAAAACCAGATACTCTTCAGGGCTGACACAAAAATAGGCACTTAATTTGCTCCCTAGTGTGAGCCACCAGGGAAGGTTTCACCCACAGATGAACAGGTCAGGCCCTCCCCACTGTAATACAGCCCAGGCATGTCTCTGGGCACCAGGCTGAAACCAGCATTTGTGTCTTATGGCCACAGTGCAAGAAGTCACAAAGGGGCCTACAGATATGTCCCCTTCACAGAGGGGCCCTCCAGAGCCGGCCGAAGCCTCCAAGATAGGCATAAATATCAGCCTGAGTTTGACCAACCACATAGATAGTGAGGTGATTTGGAGCTGCCCAGGGCAAAGCAGAGCAGGAAGACCAGCCTCCGCTGGCTGAGGTGCTATTTGTTATTGGTCTTGCTGCTCAGGGGCCTCTGGAGCCTGGAGGTCAGCACAGGACACCTGGCAACTTCTGCTGCCAGGCACAGCATACGCTATGAAAGCAGCAGTGATACACATTCCTAGATGGGACAAAGCACTGCTCAGGTACAAGAATTAGAGTGGATGATCCATCAGGAGAGACAGACAGCTGCAATTCCTTCATGTTCTCAGGAAGCAGGATTAAGAACTAGAACTGTGGGAAGTATAGCTCAGTGGTGGAACACTTGTCTAGTATATGAATTAATCTGGGTTCAGTTGCTCTTTGCAGACAATGATGTGGTAGTATGTAGAGTCAGGAGTGCCCACAGACCTGTTATGAGGCCTGAAGGTACACTCCACTAGTCATGGTACCCAACCATGCCCTAGGAGCTCCCGATCTGCTTCTCAGTTACAAATGGAGATTCAACTTGGTGACCACTTGGGCAAGAGGCTCCAGGGTTTTGCATGCAGCCCCTCTGTTGCCCACACACACCTACCTGGGCGTGTTTGATGCTGCTGCAATTGCTGCCTTTGCTCACGGGCTCTGTCTTCTGGGTTGAGGGGCTGACCTCTGTCATCTCTAGGGATGATCTTCCCATGGAACGGGCACTATATAACAAGCACAAGCTGCTGCTGACCAGGTGGCATGATAGCTCCTTGGGCACAAACAGCTCTAGGGGAGGATGGCAGAGTCAAGCCCTGTAATCATGTGCCCCCCTCAAGAGGGAAAGATCCTAGGAGAGGACAGTAGGAGTCTGGGAATTGAATCAGTTTGTCCAAAGCAACTTCTTCCCACTCTGCTCTCTCCTGCCTGCATGTACCTCTCCTACCTGAGGAGGACTCAGCCCATGCAGGGCTCTAGTTGCAGAGCAGGGTCTAGGTGCTATGGATGATGACTCAAAAGTCAACACCAGGGTTCAGGGCAGAAAATCACAGGCACAATTCTTTGATGGCTTAGCAATTTATACCACTATGGACAAGCTCTGCTCCTCAGTACTCCCAAGGATCCCTGGTCTGGAATGGAGGCAAAAAGGTTCAGCAATTTCCAAGGCCTGGTCCAGCCTCTCCCTGGGCAGCTGTAGCCTCGTGTCCACATCCTTGCCCACTGCCTCACCTTTAGCCGGTCCTGGCGCTGGCAGAGCCTGCCATCATGCCTTGGGGCCCGACACTGGTGCTGCACAGGTTCAAACTTCCCTGCAAAGGTGATGTGTCGACTATGAAGCATCTCAGAGACATGGGCACTGTCCACTTCCTCCTCTACTTCACAGGGCTTCCAGAAGCGGTGTTGAGAGTCAGATCTGCAGGGACCAGAAACCCTCAAAATGGCCTCTCCGGATCCAAAAGAGGGGGCATGGCCAAATCCCAATGCATTCCAATCACCCCTCAGCCCTGGGGAGAGAGAGCACTGGTCCCTAGTGGTCTGGGGGCTTCCCTGGCTCAAGACCTCAGTCGCTCCAGATGGGCTTGCCTTGCAGAGCAGGGACAGCAGCTGCAGGTCCCTCAGGTCATGACTATGAAAGTAACACGAGTCCATGTCAAGGTCTGCTTTGCCACTGAGGGGTCTGAATGCTGGCTGTGACAGTGACATCTATGGCACCAATGCCCCAGAGGAAGGAGCAAGCATAAATTCATATGCAATCTATATGCTAAGGGACCTGTACGCAGAACTTTCTGCTCTGCACTACAGCTCTGGTTCATTACTACACCTTGTTAAAGACACTTTCTCTGAATGCTAGAGGAGGCAGGTATGTGCATGTCAAAGGGCTCTGTTACTCTGCTCCCCAGGACACACAGCAGAATTCTGCGAGCTCTACACAGGGATGCCAACTTCCCCAAGGGTTAGCACCTCTGTGGATGTTCAGGGATGGTGGGGCAAGTGGGGATAGAGGAGTGATGGGGCCCAGGATCCTGAATGGGCTTAGCTAACCCATGACTGCCAGCAATTCCTAGGTCTGTCCTGAGGCCCACAGATTTCTGTCTCTGCCTAGAGGGCCTCAGGGGAGCAAAGTCAAGACCTGCCTCACCTTCATAGGAGTAAAACACTAAGCAACGGTCTACAGCTGGGATTGGCATAAGGCTCTGAGGCCACCCAGACTTTCCTTTCTGCCTGCAGCTTGGTCCAAGGCAAGGAGGTCCCATACTACAAGGCCCCAAAGTGAGGTAGTTCAATACTTTAGGAATCCCAGGCAGGTGGTAGGCAGGGGGGTCCAACCTAAGGGGCTCTTCTCCATCAGCCCCTCCACAAGGAGAGTTAGCCAAAGCAAGGAGGGCCTTGATGGTGCAGCCACATTGTGCATGTAAAATTAGAGAATACCTGGTGGGATCACTCAGGGGTCAAGAACTTGGCAACAGAACAGCCTTCCTGCCCCTGTGGCAAGCCACAACCTCTGTAAACCAGCCAGTTCATTCCCAATGGGCCATCAAGCAGTCCCCAAAGAGGCTGCCGCTTTGCCAAAGAGGCCATGGAAGAAAGAGCTGCTCTTGTAGTTGGAAGATGCAGCCCCACTGTTCTGACCTGAACCTGTGCTCCCCAGGAGCTGGCTCTGCCCAGTCCACATGGCAAGATGTGAGAAGAAATGGGGGCCAACCTAGGAGGAACACCTACTCTCAGCAGCCCAAATGCACATCAGCTGCTGGGGAGACACAAGGGCCAAAGCACCCAATGCTAGGTTGTTACCTGCTGCTACTCACTGCTCAGTCCTAACATGGGTCCCTGTATCACCCCACTGCTCTCATGAGCACACTGTGATTCAAGTTGACCCTGGGCACTACAGTAGGTCTGGGTGAGTGAGGGTGAGAGAACATCCACTGTTTCATGCAACAATATCCAACTACCAGGGCACTGTGAGGGCAGCAGCAACACCCAGGAGCTATGTTCTCTCAACAAGCCTAACTGGAGCAGTGTTTAACCTCATGGAACCTCAGGGCAAAGCCCTGCACCAGAAACCTCACATGGCCCTGGCCTCCTTTCCCCATGGCCCCTACCAAGTCAGATCAGCACCCAAGCAGCCTAGCCTAATGCTCAATCATGGGATTTACTGGCCTTAGACTCCCAACTCTGGCCCTATGGCACAGTGTCAGTAAATACAACCTGGACCCTTTTAGCTTCCTCCTCCCCAGGTGACTGTCCTCCCAGATGCATCTGCCTTACCACTTCTGAGCCCAACGTGTTTGCCAGCCTGGGTCCTCCAAGGGTGGCCCCAACTCAGGAGGGTTCTCGGGAAGCTAGAGTCCAGCTTCTGACCCAGTTAACATTGTTTACCAGCTTCCTGTAGTCTGAGGAGCTATATTAGGAGGGTCTCAGACCATGCTTGCTCCTCAGGGGAGGCACTCTCTCTGGCTATCCCTTCACTCACACTTGGTAATGGCTGACCTTCATGGGTATCTCCAGAAGAAGCAACAGCAAGGGTCACGTCCCAGTGTTCTACTGGCCAGCGGACAGCTCTACAAGAGCAGGTCCTGCCATGAGTCCTGGGAACCAGACACCCTGGACTCACTTGAGGATCTTTCCAGCTGTCATCTGCTCCTGGCCCCAGTAGCACAGGTCCACTCCGAAGGGTACAACAGGCGCTCGGGCTCGCTCTGCCACCAGCTTCTGGTCCTCCCGGGGCTCCAGGGATACCCTGAGAACAGATGAGCAAATGTGGACTGCCCACTCCTAGTATGGCCACTCATCTTTCCCTCCCACAACTCAATGAAGATCAGAGGCCTGGGGTCGGCATGAATGAGAAACCGTCTTGAACCACATCGGGCCTGGGCTTCAGAGTGGCTGCCAACGTCCAGTGAACAACCTGGCCTTGCTGAGTACTGGCTCTGGTCTGTGATTCAAACCTGACTGGCAGTCACCTGACATCTCCTTCAAGCTCTGGTCTCAGGGCTTCAGAGGACTGCTGCAAGCCCAGCTGAATGCCATGCCCCACATCAGCAACTGCTGCCTGGCACGGCTGCACACACTCCAGGCTGCCCTCAAGGTAGAGTCCTGAGGCATCCTGTTCAGGCCAGCCAGTGTTCCAGGCAAGTGGTGGTAGTACCAGGTAGTAGGCCCAGCAACACAAGGCATCTGGAGTCACCTGGTAGAGGATGAAGTGGGGGGCAGGTGGTCCTGGAGCCACAACAGCTGGGCAGCAGCAGAGGTGGGGTCCGATGCCTCCTCACTCCTTCTCTGCCTTCTCCTTGCCTCTAAGCTGCATACAACTGTGTCTTTCTCTGGAATCTTCAGTGGGGCCTTTGGTTCCAGCCCTAAAATGACACATACTCACTCCTAACACTGCCGTACAACCTAGGGCAGATTAGGGGAGCACCATAAGGCTGGACCTCAGTGCTGTGCAACAAGATGCACCCACATGAGACGGCGTTTATTCTTCCATCAGTACAGATAGGGGCCACACTCTTTTTTTAAAGATTTTTTAAAAAATATACAGTGTTTGGGGCTAGAGAGATGACTCAGTGGTTAAGAGCACTGACTGCTCTTGCAGAGGACCTGGGCTCGATTCCCAGCACCCACATGGCGGCTA